CAGATCATCTCAAACACATCTCCTGAACTTAACAATGAGATCACTGTTCTCTAATGGCCTCCACAGTCACAAGATCTTTTTTCTGCAGACCATCGTTGTATTTTGGATCATGTGCTATATAGACCAAGCAATCACCTGGGCTCAGAGAACTTAATTGGCAGATTAAACAGTAATGAAATTTAGCATTGTTGTAATCTAAGAACTTGCAAGTCACACTTTTTCATGGTTCTTGAAATTCCTCATGACATTTTAAATTACAGATTTTTAGTACTTTTTCTTTTCCTTTGGGTTTGACAATCAAAGTCATCCCCCTGCTTTGTATCGTGTCTCATTCGTACTAAAATAGACGGAGAAAAGAGCCTCTCACTATGTATCAGTCACGGCTGAGGTATTTGAGCTATAAATGATCAAACTGAATGAAACAGTCATCTGCGCACTCCAATCTATTCAAAAATCTTTTTAATTAGCGAGCTTCACAGTATACTGCAGTGAGGCTAATCATGGGATGTTCTTTTAACCTTTTGTACTTCAGCTTTCACTTGCTACCTGTTCATGCCTTGAAGAAGACTGAAAGGGTGCTAATTAAAGGGATTTTTTTTTACAAAGAAGTGGCTTCCTTCCACACATATTAACCACATTTTTGATCGCTTGAAGAGCTGCGGTTGATACGTTTTTTGACCTCTGCTGAGCTACATCAAATCCAGCTTAAACTACTTATTTTATTACAATTGTTCATCCTGCAGATTACTTTCTCAGCTGACTCTTTAGAGAAGTAGGATGTGTTGTAAAGGGAAAACTGTTATGTCCTAAAGCAGTGGTCCCCAGCCCCCGAGTTGTTTGGTACCGAGAGTTGAGGCTCGTGTATGAAATGTATGGTTTTCAGGGTTTTTATTGTTATTTTTTTTAAGCGTTTTTATTGTTAACTTGATTTCCCTGGGTCTTTTCCCATGTGTTATGAATACATCTTTTTATGGTAGCGGTACTGGTTTTATTTTGTTGTATTTATCCGCGACACCTTAAAGGCCAGTATATTGTCAGACATAAACTGGTCCAAAAAAGGTCGGGGACCGCTGTCCTAAAGCATGCAACACACCCTGGTGTAGCAAACAGCACCAACACACTCATAGTACAGTGACTCAAATCAATGAAATGCTTTTATTCAGCACCGGTGGTGGTACAATACCACCACCAGAGAAAAACAAGCTCCATCAAAGTTGTTTTGCCCCAAAGGAAAAAAAAAAACTCTATATTTTTAACCATCATTTTTTTATGTTAGGGTGTAATATACTGAATAACAGGAAAATTGACAGATTTCTGTAGCAAACAGGCTGTATGTGGATCAATCATGGTTGTGCGCACAATCACCCTTTGCAGGCCCTTGAGCAAGGTTTCTGCATGTGATAAGAGAGGTATGCTACATTATAGAGTGCTCTCTTATCACATAGATCACAAGAAAATGGAAGAGTTACAAAAGCTCAAAACAGCCACTTTAGCCTCTATGTTTTTTGCTCAGTGTTGGAAAACAGCAGTGTTCGCCTGTTGATCATTCCTCCTACAGTTAAGCCTGTTCAACAGAAAAAAACTGCATTGCATATACAGGGCGTGATCTCTCTTTGACGGGTCACTGGACACAGAATAATCTCTGCTGGAAGTAAATATTTGTAGAAGTTTTGTTTTTTAAGATGTCAAGCTCACAGTGATGTTCATTACATTTTCCAAGAGCTTAAAGTGGGCAGAAAAGCAACAAACAGTCAGTCATCAGTAAATTACCTACTTTTGCTTTTTAATTTTTATGATTGAAAATGATGCATTACCTCATTCTTTACAAAATGCTCAGAGAACCCTTTGGTGCCAGTCTTTGTGATTTGCGTGGGTGCCTGTGTTAATTTATGTGTGAGTGCAGAGTACCGGTAATGATAAGACACCAGTACAGCTGCTAAGCTAAATGAGGACTCCTTTCAAGCAAAGCCAAGAGAGAGGAGAACACACTGCAGGGACGTGAAACGTAACACACCTCTTCTTTCTCTACCCCTACACCACACAGCCAAGTCTTACCTCACTCCCAGTCTGCCTGCTGTAATTGCATGACATCTCCTTCCTGTTTTACATCACTATCTCACCGCCCTGAACAATCTCTGCACGGGATCCATGACTGAATGTCGAGCTACAGTAATTAGAGCAGGCTCGTACGGACAGAGGACACGGCGTCCCCTCATGCTTATGTTCTCTCCACCTGGGCAGATATTTTTAGCCCACCTTGTATGGGAAAGAACAAGCATCAACATGGCAACATGGCGGGTTGCCCGAAAGCATTTAGCTCAATCAGGGTGCAACAAACTCAGGGCCAGAAAGAAAAAGGGATCCAACTCCTTCATTTTTTCATGTTTTCTTTGTTACGTGAAATGTTGTCCTGGCGAACTAGTCTGGCTGCCTGTTGATGCCAGAGCGCCATAAACTAAATTAACCAATGTGTCATTCACCGTGGATGATGCACAATAACACAATAACACTGCATGCCATAACAGCGGAAATATAAACACTCTCCTCCCTCTGTTTATATGCGGCTGTGCGCACACATGTCCCCCGAGGCCGCAAAGTCTTACGACTTTCACTATGCCTGCATCCGACCTCGTTTGCATATCAAGCTCCCGGTGTGTTTGAGTAAGACATCAAGGTTTTTTTTCCCAAGATGCATATCTGCTTTCCAGCCCGCGGGCACACACACAAACAGAGTTTTGAGTCTCGACCCCGGCCACCCTGTCACACTGCATTTCTGAGCAGCTTATCTTCAAACGCAGCAAATTCTCACCTCAAGAAGCACGCACGCATTCGACTTCTTAATAGATCAGGAGTTCGTTTCCACATTTTAATAGCCTAAACTCGTGGCAGCAAATAAAAACACAATCGATCCTCTTTTCAGTGATCTTTCCAGCTTTTTTAGTGATGTGTATACAGTCAATTTAACATGCATCCCATCGTTGATACACAAGCTAAATAGATATAGGCTCAGATTCACCTCTTTGCTGCAACTTGTTGACCTTCGTTAGACAGCACGCTGGTATGCCAGTTCAGGCCCTTCTCACAGCCTGTCAACAGGCCATATATTATCAAGATAATTACCTTTGGAGAACAGATGCCTCTTTTTTTAATGGGTGCCCATTACTTTGTGGGTCCACCCAACAACAACTGCCGTTTGTTCTATCCCATCTAGGACATACCTCACAGATCACGACCATAGATTCAATTAGGAGGCACACAATCCCACATTTAACAGCCAGCGGGTAAAGATAGGAAGAGCAGGGGAAGGTCAGCCGGGGTAGCTGGCACATCAGTCTATGAGCAGTGTTGCAGTTCCGACACTAATGGCCATCTGCATTAAGCCATAAAGACAGGCTCGGCCACAGATAATTGATTTATCTTTCACATATGGCATTGCTCTAACCTGCTGAAAAATCCCTCTAATTAGGCTACAGTTATTACCGTGTTTATATCATCCTCCTGTTTTTGTTGTGCCGGTCAACAGAGGAGTCAGCACAAAGCCAGGTGTTCAACAGCTGCGTCCACTGAGGGTCCAGGCCATCATCAAGTGCCACCTGGCATGTGTGTGCTTGCTCGTTCTTCGAGGAATAATTTGGGACATAGAACAAATGACTTTTTGCCAAGTTATATGAGAACATCCATCCTGCTTTCAGGTCTGCATAATAATTAGGGAGGTACAATGAGCAGCTGGTTGGCATAGATTGCCACAAAAGCTAGAAACAAAGGAAAAAGAACCATTTTTTACAAGAGACCATGTGCTGGATCACAAAGACATTCTTGTAGTTTGCTTTCTTTTTTCTTTTTTTTTACTCTTGGATATCTTGATAGCTGTTTCCATAACTATAAATTTGTTATTCTTGCACAATCACAACAGACATCTCAGAACAGGAAACTTGCCAGTCTTCAGCTCAGCTAACTGACTGCTAGGTTTACTTTTAATCATATTTAGGCTTACTGAGCATCCACCCCAGACAGTAAGCTTCACTCATTCTTCAAACCCACTGACATATACGAGCCCATGCATCTGTCACCCCTGTGAGATGCTTAAACTTTAATAATTGCACGCTGTTTCAGTTAATCATTCTTGTGTGCAATCGGGCCACCTACTAACAGCACATCCTGGTGTTTACCTAGAGAGGAGACTACTTAGCACTGCAGTGTGATACCCATGAGGTGAGCATTCTCACAGCTCTTAAGGCACTCACCGCCCTGCAGACAAACACACATGCTCCCCGACCAACCACCAAAACAAACATTATGCCATTAGAGCAGCTGCCAGTTGGCACCAAAACACCCTCCAGTATTGATGAAGAGTGTCATCCCCCCAGAGATTTGTGAAAGCTAAACACAAGCCCACCCATTCTCCTTCACAGCTGTCTGTCACTCCTCTCGTCCTCTCATGGCACATGTCAGCTTTTGTTGCGATGTTACCTTCAAAAATCACAACTCAGCAAAACAAAAACAGAGAATAGGTGAAGGACTTCTCTTTGTGCGGTCAGCAAACAAGATGGAAAATGTGAAGGTTTAAGAAATATGTGCGCTCACTTTTCCAGTGCCTCATGGGTGCAACCTCATTAACAACAATACCCCAAGTGGAAGAAAGCAAACTAGTCAGAATGTGTCTGTAATGACGCTCATGATTGCCGTAATTGTGTGGTTCCGCTTAGAAAGATAAACAACCCAGCCTACATCACATAGACACAATACAGCCTTGAAAACCCAACTATAAATGGCCCATTTTCACCACGGCACCAAGTTTTCTCCAATAAAATACTTTTTTTCTTCTTCTCGTTTTCCAGATGTGTTGAAGCTCAACAAAGCAGTTGTTTGGCTGCCTTGTTTTTTTTTGTTTTTTTTAGCGGTTATAAAGTGTTCAGTACAGGCGTAAAACGGCTGATTCCAATATGAAGCCTCGCAAAGACAACTGTTTGAAGAAAAGAAAAAGAAAAGAGCAAACTTACCTCCGCGTTGTACAGAGCTACGGAGAGCAGAAGGAGCACAGCCACACTTCGGAACATCTGGACAAAAAAAAGGAGGGGAAAAGAGAGAGAAAGTATGGTTTTATGGGAAAAGAATGAGCCAGCGACAGTGTCCATCCGTTTTCATACTATTCATATTGTCAAGACAAACTTGTGGAAAAGCCACATTTTAGTCCTCTACATTACCATTTTATATTCGGCTTGGGAAATCTGCTCGGAAAAGGGGTGCTGGTCCGGATATCTGTCGGGACGCAGTCGAGCAGAATTGCCGAGATTTCAAGAAATTTGAGGAGCGCTGAGGAATTCCTGCCAGTCCGTCAGTCTCTCCTCCTCCTCTCGTCTCACCCTGGCCAATGAAAACGTCTGGAGAGGAGAAGAGGAGGAGGGGGAGGAACGATGGAAAGTGTGTAGGCTATTTATTGTGTGTAAATTAAACGGTAAATGCAGCCTTTCTCTCAAGGAAGGTGGATGGCTGTGTTTGGGGCTCAGTCATATTTTGTGTCCGGTTCGTATAAAATCTTTTGTATCCTACTGATCTTATGGAAACATTTCTCTTGGCCGTTTCAATCCATTTTAGTCAAACTCTCAAAGAACAGCCATAAAATCATCCAGTATTATTAACAAGGTTTCGCTTGCTTTTCTTTGCTGCCACCAGGGGGCAGAAGAACTCTTAAAACACACAGCTGCTTCTTTGTGTCGTTTTAAGCTTATATTTTGATTATTCACCTCCCTCTCCATCTGTTTGATGCTTCTGGTTCTTGATGTCTCACTTTGATGATTTACTTCCCTCGTTTCTCTTCAGACTAAGACAATCAAATGTGGAGGTGTACTGCACTGAATGGGTGCACAATGCATATGCAGACATCTGCACCTTCAGTTTGTATGCATACACATTATATTGTAGAGTCTATGTAAATAATGTTTATTAAAGAAAAGTGACTCAACAGAACCTTCTGTATTTATTTCTTGACGGTTTGTAACATCAGCAACGCTCAGAGCCAAAAAAACAAACCCCTCAAACTCTGACATGTTAAAAATACTTTAATGTGCTGAGACTGAGCACTTTTTAGGCATGCAACAGGTCCTTAGTGAACAGAATGAAGTATCAGATGTTATGTTCCCAAATGAGGACACAAGATCTTAGGAGGAAAAAAAATGAGAGAAGCAGCTGTGCTTTGTTTCTACAGTTATGAGTATAGGGCCAACTGAGGTCTCCTGCTTTGAAGTTCAATGTTTTGTCACCCAATCCATCCCCTCCAGCCTCCTCCTTAAGTAGTGTTTGTGTCCCCAATGGGGACATTCCCATAGGGCTTAAAATCTGGGACTCTCCACCTGAACTTCTCCAACTGAAGAAGCTCCTCGGATGAGAGGTGAAACGTCTTCAAGGAAACTTAAAGAAGTCCAGACGCTTTTCTTTCCAAGCTCCTTATACTGTTTGTGATTGAATAGTCTCAGTTTTCCACATGCATTCAAATGGTCACTGGAGGGCGCTGACACAATGAAACGTGTAGTCATTTTTAATGAGAGGATGGCCTTCTTTTAAAAGAATTCAGATTTGATTTGATAAGAACCCATTCATTTATGCACATATTAATGGTATAAACAAGTGCATAAGGAGATCAGACTTTGTGCTTTTAGTGGTATTAATTTAAAAAAAATATGTATGTTTTTTTTCAGTTTTGAATAGGCTTTTGCATCATTAAGCATCGCGTCCTTCGATCAGAGCTTAGGTTAGTAAAAGTCCTCTGCAGAAAGACCTTTGTTGTATCTCACGTACTGAAAGATTAATGTTCTTATTTCTTTCAGGATTTCAATATTTCAGGATTACAAACCATCAATGGTGTGCACGCTCCACTGAGGAGTAATTAAAGAGTGATTAAGAAGGACAGTCTGAGCTCTGAACACAGCGGCGCACTGAATTTTGAACACAAAAAAGCGAATGAAGAATGTTTTTCAACTGCAACCCATCAATTATATATAACTTCATCTCCTTTGAGTCTACCTATTTAAACAGATTCTGTGTTTATTTGACACCCCGAGGCGTTTTGTATTACTGTGTGTGAAAGTGTGCACATGCACTGGGCCTTGTGTTTGGGCTAGCACTGGTGTTAAAATTCATGAAAAAATATTTTCCTTGTGTTTACAAAGTTAGTTTCATGCCCCTAATTGACCCTGTTTCTAACACTGTAGGGAGATATTCTGTATTTTTCCATATTGTCTCGCTTATACACTGACCTTTGTTTGTCTCCCTGTTTTGTTGCCATGCAGGACGCTGTGAGAGAAGAGGAAAAAGACTTTTTCCTCTTCATGCTTCCCATTGGGAGCTGCCTAACTAAACTTAATGTGTTAAACAAAGCAACAATGCAGCACAGACAAATTTAATACGGCATTTTCAGTGAGAGAAGTGCAAAGCACATCATTGAATATATTGCAATGCAAAACGTGGGAATGAGAACGGGCTGTGCAATGTGAAACCAAAGCCACAGCAACAAAATCAAAGAACACAACGCGCAATAAAACATAACATAAAACAACAAAACACACTTCAGGAAATAAAAACGTGCTGCTATGGATTAAGTGGGAGAATGGGGCGTCCACTAAATGCAGATTTGGTGTTTCAGTCCCCAGACTCACCTGCTAAAGTGTCACCGAGCAGATACAGAGCACCAAGCTCCTTTTCATGGGCAGAAAAGTGAATTAAAAACATGCTGTGAAGTGTTTCGCGTAGCTGATGTTAAAGGACCCGCTGTATGTGTGCACACCGCTTGCAACATTCCCTTTGCAGATAAGATTTTCTTCATTTTCTGCATCAAAGCTCTGCAGCTCTCAGTGTCTGTGGGTGATTTTACCAACTGTGAGAGGCTAAAAGAGGAGAATCAAAGACTAAGAGAATATTTTATTCTCAATACAGTTTAGCACAGTTGTATACACCGATTTCCTGAATCTTTGCCCACAGTAGGCTCAAAACACAACGACAGAAAAACAAACAAACAAACAAAAAAAAAAAACCCACAATATTTTTTTTCTCCTTTTCCAGAAAAATGCAGCTATTTGTACTTAAATTTAACATGGATGGAACTGAAGTTCCTCATGGCAGATTGATGTCATTTCCTCTGCCTATGCTAGTAGTCAGCAGTGTCCTTGCCTGAAGTTTAAACTATGTTTGAAAGCATGGAAAAAGGAGAGAATAAAGGGGACATTTTAACAAAGGGGCATTCACATAATATATTTCTGGATATGCTTTTAAGATATAATGACATTGAAATGTCCATTTGAACCCTGAAAGCATGTTAGATTGAATTAGGACTGAGGAGATGGGCTGCATTATGCAGAGTTCTGCATGCACACTGAGAGCTGCACACGCCCTTTCAAAGGACCATGCAGAGCTGAAGAGGAAATAATCTTTAAGAGGCTTATGAACAATTAAATATTGTTGCTCGGGTTCCGCGGTGCTAAGAATTTTAAAGCAGTCCATAGTTTATAAAGTCTTCATTTTGAATGTCCTTTGATAAAACATTCCCTTGTGATTTCAATCTCCTCTTACATCTTTTCAAATTAGGCTCAACGGTCTTGCTGAGACACCAGTGAGTGAAACAGGAAATGGCTTTAAGCCATCATCGCAGACTTTTGTTGTTTCGATTCCAAAACAAGAAACGCTGCCCCATTTTTTTCCCCATGAAGTGGTGTGTTGTTGAGTTTAGAAAAAACAACAACAACAAAAGGGGCCCAGTTGTGACTCATTTTGTCAAAATGCTAAACACAAAGCAGAAAGGCAAACCGCACTGTTTTGCATAACTGTTTTGTCTCAAGTATGTGTTAAAATTGCCTCGTTCTGAAATCTTTGTTGATCAAAAAGACACACACATACTGTCTCATGAAGAGGTTTTTCTGTCATCCAACAACACACTGATATACTTAACATATACACATATCATGTGCAGTAATAAATTGTGTGGGTGATTACAGACTTGATGAGTAATTAGGCTTACTGTGTCAAAACATTTAGCACAAGCCGGATAACATGCAGCGATTGTTCCTTAGGTAGAGCTGTTCTACACAAGCACAGTGCATTTGGTCACGGAAACATGTTAAAAACAAAAAGATAAGAAACTTGTGGCATGGCTGTTGGTGACAGATGGGCTAAGTATTTCAGAAACTGCTGAGTCACTGGGATTTTCCCCACATAGCCATTTCTAAGGTTTACAGAGAATGGTCTGAGAAAAATATCCAGTGAGTTCTTTTGGCAAAATGCTAACTGTTTTTTTATATGACTTGTTGAATGTTTCCTGTCCCTTTGTCCTCATTCTTAACTCTGACAGTCTTTGCCAGTTGCAAGTCTCTCAAATCTCTGTGCTAGCTCAAGCTCAAAGCTCAGAGATCACACTTCTACCTAAGTGTGAATACAAAGCCACTAAAGCAGTTTGTTTGCTTGTGCTTTGGTATTACACGTTTTTACCATATAGAAGTCAGATGTTATTCGTGAGATGCTGAAGCTCCGACACACAAAGAGAAAGAACCAGCCATAATAACAATACATTTGTTTCTGATGCAATTTGTGCAAGTACGTGTTAAAATTTTGCAATACATGAAGGAATTTAGAAAAAGAGCACATCCAAATGAGACTCTTTAGAGTTGCATATCATTGTTACCAAGGAGGCTTGGGGGCATCCAAGGCTGGATTAGGCATACCGAGCTATGCTTTATGCTCTGCCCGGTTAGGCTCCATCCCTTTTCTTGGTGAGGAGATTTGGCTGGATCAAGACCAGAGAAAAGATGACATGCAGACATCACATTTTTCCATTTTGTTGGTAAATATCCTTGTTTATTCGCTAACATTTCTAAAGAATAGATCAGGGGTCTCCAACTCCTGGCCTCGACGGCTGGTGTCCTGCAGATTTTTAGATATAACTGTGAGTCAACACGCCTGAGTTACATGATTGGTTCGTTACCAGGCCTCTGGAGAACTTCAGGACATGTTGAGGAGGTCATTTAGCCATTTGAATCAGCTGTGTTGGACCAAGGACACATGTAAAACCTGTAGGACACCGGCACTCGAGGCCTGGAGTTGGAGACCCCTGGAATAGATTTTTCAAGGCAGGACATTTTGTTTTCCTACAATGAGCATGGTTTCCAGGTAAGTTTATTTCCAGAACCAAACTTTACTGATACAGCCAACCCGCTCTGCAGGGGGCCCTAGGGAACAGGAAAAGCCAAGGTAAATACCCAGATAAACACAGAGCTAGAAACAGGTGTGTGCCTGAATGTGATGTGAGGGTGAATAAACCAGACCTTAAAAATTTCAGGTAAGTGGAGATTATCAACACCTGCTGTTGATCAAGATGCTCAACAGCAGGTATGTCAGGTGGAGAACCAGTGGGAATGCCCGTTAAGAGAGCTGGCAATCCTGGCAGAACTTATCCCCTTGCAAGAAAATGCACACTGGCTAGAAGAAAACAGAAAAGCATGAAAGAAAATCAGATAGAGGGAGGGAAAGAGAGAATTTGCTGTCCAGCACTGAAAGCAAGAGGGAACATAACAAAAAGGGCCTCAGGTGATCAGCTGAGTCAGTGTCAGATGGGACTGAAGGCAAGTTTGAAAATGTGAAGATAAAAATCTTTGTGTGTGAGGTTAGTAAGGAATGAGAACACCATCTCTGACGTTACGTGGCTACAGCAGTGCTATCAGTCATCGTGCATTGTGGTTACTTTAGTGCATGAGCATGCATGGGTTTGACAAAATAGAAGAAAGCACAATAGAAAACCCATAACTCTTAATGAACTGTGCATCATAAATAAAATGAGGTTCTAAAAGTGCAATGCTAGATAGATCACTCACTGGGAACATTTTTCCATGCGAAACTGCACTTTTGTGTTGAGGCTATCAAAGCCTATTACACAAAGCAAAAGATGGCTTTCTGGTATTGAACAGCAACAGCAGTTTGTACAGTTATTTACCTGAAACCATAATCTACCTGAGCGCTAACCGCATTGGAGGTTCACAATCTCTTTCTAGAAGGCAACACTGTGAAAACAGCAACATAAAAAGCTATCAGTAGAAAAAATGCAAAAATATCGTTTCCCAGAAGTGTTTGATTGATAAATTCTGCAAAAGCTGATACAGGTGTTATCAGTTGTACTACACACACGCACAAACGTACATATTTACACCAAAACAGATAAGTGTGGTGGGAAAAACAAAAGACTTTTACAGCATGTTCTGCAAGCAACTGAGAGAAGCTAACCAACAACAACAGCTCTTTCTTTCCAAGCTATTAATATAAAAACTGTCTTCTTCATAGAAGATTTAAATTCATTCACTGTGCACGTACATGTGAGAGGATCAAGCTGCGCTCAGAACAGAGAACTGAGGTGTTTTCTCTTCTGATGTCTCCCCGTTTTCTGCCAGGGGCTTTCCAAGAGGCATCTCGAATATTCACGGTCATCCATCAATGCCTGAAAGGGTCAGAAACTAGTCACAGTCATTGAGAATCACACACTCGCAGACACACATACACACATTTAATTATTTCCTTTTTTTTTTTTTTTTTGCTCCTGGAGTTTTGTTTAATCACAGTTTTTCTATCACATCTTTCTCTGAGGCCTGTATAAGTCAAATGTAAGCGTGAGTCATAGGCAGCTCTTATGTTTGCAGGGGTGTGTGTGAAACATGTGGGGAACAAAAATTTAAATATGCTTCCGGAAAATAAATGTACCTCACTTTGAAGTCCTCTGAAGTGATAGAAAGGTGTTTGGTGCATGTGCGTGTTTATATGTGTGTTTTAGTATGTGGTTAAGGGTTAAAGGCTTCCTGTAGTAGATATCTATGTGTCGGGGGGGGGGGGGGGTCCTATTTCACTGCAGGGCAACATGCATGTGGCGAATAAAGCCTTGATTGTTTGATTGATTGATTGATTGCATGCTAGAGTCTACAGAAATGGATAATTGTTCTTAAGGACTTGTGTTTCACTGAAGTATGCACAATATTGTTCTTTTTTCACAGTTGCAAATACGAGAGAGAAAGGGGGGAGGGATAAACAATGCAAAACAGGTAATCGCTACTAATCATGGTTCAGTGATGAATAGTTTGGGGATGGTTTGCTTAACCTAATGAGACAAAATTAGATGACAATAAATCATTTGCATATATATATTTTCCTGTTTTTAAGATGAACCTGCTCTCACTTTGGCACATATGACCGGGTGCTCTGGTTGACAGCTGTTAACCATAGGCTGCAATTAACACAGCATTTTGGAGAAACAGGCCCAGCAAGTACACAAATAAAGTAATGCGGGAAGAACGCGCATGCACAGTATAGCACAAACTGGAGGGCATGCGTGCAACCAAGCAATGAGTATGTCATCAGTCATGTAATGCCTACAAAGCAATAATACTTCTTTAATTACACACACACACACACACACACACACACACACACACACACACACACACACACACACACACACACACACACACACA